TATATTTCTTTATATAAAACAAGACTACAGAGCATCCTGAATAGCACTACATTAAAGATAAATTACAAACGTCTAATCTCAACCTTCCTCTTCAGAACACAGCACCAGTTTTCGGTCGAGTTGTTCGAGCAAGCAAGTTATACAAGCGTCTTTGAAAATCACTTTATACAAATATCTATGGTTGTGATGTGATTATCTTTGTAAGACAATTTGGTTTCTTCTTGGACCATGTAGTTACATGTGCTTAAAAAAAAAAAAATCAAGGTCTGAGCTGTTATCTTAACCAGGACTTACCAAGGGCTCACCACTTCACCTCATATAAACCCAACCTGAGACATCACACCACCTTTCCATCAATATCCACCCAAGCTTTGTCCGTCCATCTGCGTAATCGAGGGTATGACGGCAGCTGTCATTGAAAGAAAACCAAAAAAGTGTTTCTCAAAACTATTTGAACTATTGATATAGAAAATATTTCTCATAATATGTATAAATTACTTTAAGCTACATGTCACTCTTATGATGTGGCATCTGTTTTATGTATCTTAACGTATTTACCGAGGTTCACTTTATTAGCAATGTTATATATACTCCATGTGGGAAAGCTAATTGTAGAAATTGTTGATCAATTGATTTTTGTGAACTGTTGTATTTTTTTTATATAAAATGGATTAGAGGGCATCTTGAATAGTACTACGTTAAATGTAAATTAATGATGCCAATATCAAACTTCATCTTCAGGATGCAATGCAAGTTTTGCATCAAGTAGTTTAACAGAGTAAGATATCCACTTCATTAAATGAGTGTCTTTGAAACTCATTTCATTTATCGGTTGTGATGTGATCATCTTTCTAAGACCATTTGGCTTTTTCCTTGGCCCATGTACAACGCTCTTAGTATCTGTCTATATTTCTGAGATGAGGTATTATGGACACTATTTACATTATTCAATTGTCCTCATCTTTGTCGCCATATTTATTACAACGTTTCGCCATTATGGGCCTTCTTCAGGTGGTTGGAATGTCGAACTGAACCTTTATTTCATTCACTGGGGTAGACTGTTCTAGTTCCACGTGCCATGTTTAATAGATGTCGGTTATCAGTTATCTCTTGTTAATTCCCCTCTTCAAGTTTTCCGCTGCCTTAACCGGGTATTGAACTCACAATCTTTGGGTCCTGTCACTGGGTCTAACCAATGCCTTTAATAAATATGGCGACAAAGATGAGGACAATAGTCTGAATAATGTAAATAGTGTACAACATCTTAGTTGACAATGATATATGTGACAAATGGCTATAAGAAGGTACTACTAGTTATTTACAGCTAATTTCTTTAAATAATGCACTGACTATTGTTTGCATTACATGGCAATAATTGTAAGTAAAATGATGCACTAAAATAAGTAACTGAGTAACCATTTTAAGTTCTCGAAGTGCCTAATAAAAACTCAGGGCATTACTACTACTACTAGTGTAAATAAAGTTTCTAATGAAAGATGGATGAAATTCAAGTCAAAAAATGAATAATGAGTAAGTCAGTTTTAATTATGAGATAGAAAATTGATTAGGTTTCATAGATGTCTTGTAAGGGAAGAAAAGAGAATACTTGAATACAGTAAAACGTTGGCTATCTGCATAAAATTTTAAGGCCCTCTAAATATTTAATCTTACAATTTTGTCCTGAGTACAAATCTGTTAAAAGTAATCACTTCTTGGTTTATTGCTTTTTTTTCTGTGAAGAGAAAGTAATCAGTTGGCTTGATGACAGCCAGCCAGCCAGCCAGCCACTTCAATGTTGAAATAATTTTAATGCATATTTTTTTTTTTTTTTTTTAATCATTTCACCCCAAGCAAGGTGATAATGCCATTAGGATGAAAAGGGTTACTGGGAGTGAAAGAAAATGAGGAGAAGGAACCAGAAACCTAATCCTATATGGGAATTGAGGGATAAACGTCTACTCTTGTTCAAAACACCAGGGAGGAGTAGAACCGGGTGATAGGTGAACTTATTTACTAAAAAAATAAATTTACTGTTGAAAAAATAAACTCAGATGTAGTAGGTAATAGTTGATATTATATATATATATATATATATATATATATATATATATATTTTTATATTATATATATATATATATATATATATATTTTTTTTAATTCCTCCCCCAAGCAAGGTGGGAGTGCCACTAGTATGCAAGGGGCTACAGAGAGTGTAAATAAGGGTAAGGACTGGGTAGGGGGCATGTTTAGAAAAGGATAAAAACAAGAACGGAGATCAAGGCAACAGAAGATGTTGATTACATTTAAATTTTTGAAGATTATCATTATCAGGGAAGCAAGGAAGAGGAAGGGAGTTCCACTGTTGGGAAGTGTGAGAGAAGAAGCTGTTGGAGTAGAAAAGGCGGTTACATTTAACTTTTTCAACAGTAAAAGGGTGGGACTGAGATGCCAACCTAGTAGCACGCTTAAGTTCATGCAGTTGGGGCACCAGTGAAAATAGCTCATCAGAGAAGATGCCATGAAAATATTTATAGAAAAGACAGAGGGAAGCCACGTTACATCGGTGAGAAAGTAACTGAAGTTGAAACCCCAAGTCAGGACCTATCACATGGCATATCCATCTTTGGATTTTGTTGAGAAACTCGAGATGAACAGCAGGGGCAGCAGACCATATATGGCTACAGTATTTCACGCATGAGTGAATGGTAGATTTGTAGATGTAAAGGATGGACTCAGACGAGAAAAATCTTCAGGCGTGACACAGAAAACCAACTTTAAATAACAGTCGTGAAAAAGGTTTCCCAAAATTGTGTGAACGTACCCAAGCAGAATGAGAAAACTTTAGTGAGGGAAAAAAAAGAACAATAAAAGAACATGTTAAGGAAGAGAGAAGATGACGATTGGCAATGCATTTAAATTTTTGAAGATTGCAGGGAATTAAGAAAATGAGAAGGAGTTCCATAGGTGAGAATTATGAGAAAAGAAACTGTTAGAATAGAACGTAGGGTTCCATCTATATAGTTCAACAGTAAATGGTGAGGCCTAGTTGTTAATTTAGTGGCACTCTTAAATTCATGTGGTTGAGGTACCAAGCAGGAAAGATCATCAGAACAATTGCTATGAAAATACTTAGAGAAAAAACAGAGGGAAGCCACATCATGTTGGTGAGAAAGTGACTGAAGTTGAGATGTCAGGATCAATTACATTACAGAACCTTCAAAAGAATCAAAATGAAGGATTTAAAAGCATGGCAAAAATGGGACTGATGCCTTCATGAATTCTACAACTTTGTTCCTTGTATTTTTCATATGAACATCATGATTGTTTTATATTTTCAGCTCCTTATCTTTGTTATTTGAACAAAAAATAACATTATTTCATCCAAACAAAATATGATACATCTATCGTTTGGTGAACAACAGGATCTACATCTGATATAATGGATAATGGTTCAGAATGAGAAATCAAAGAGCTGAGTTTTTATTCCATTTGAGAAATGTATGAATTTATCTTTACCCCACAGCTATGGGTTAAATAGTAGTATCTAGAAAACTCATTGTTATTTCAAAAAAGTGTTAATTCAATACTTTGATTAGGATTAAAGTTTCATTGCACTGGGTTGTTTATTTTTTTGTTAATAGTAAATGTTTGGATATTTCCAGGTTAGGACAGTTCACATAGATGTGTATGTGCGTTTGTTTATACCAGTGGCTTTTGTGCCATGGACTCACATTATTCTGATTATTAAAATAGAAAGTAATTATTTATTCAGTTTTATTAGTACGAGTCAGGCATTGCAACTGAAATTCAGATTTAATTTATATATTCATTTTTCTGAATTGTAATCAGTGAAAAAGTTGAGACCTAACTGCCAATCTAGTAGCACTCTTCAATTCATGTGGTTGAGACACCAAACATGAATAATTGCTATGAAAATATTTATAGAAAATACATACACCTTTTACATTATTCGGACTATTGTCCTCATCTTTGTCGCCATATTTATTACTACGTTTCGGTCGTTGTACACTCTGGCCTTCTTCAGGTGGTTGAAGAAGGCTGAAACATAATAAATATGGTGACAAAGATGAGGACAATAATCTGAATAATGTAAATAGTGTACATAATACCTCATCTCAGAAATATAGACAGATACATATACCTTTATTTCACTAAGTTAAAATAGTTTATCAGTAGTGCTTGTGGACCTTGAGGATTGGAAAATAACTTCTTGTGTTTTTCTGGGTAGCATGTAACAGAAAGTGCCCCACCTTAAGCAGCTTGTAGCTGAAAGAAGGTGTTACAAAACATAATGAAAGATCTGAGATGAGAAAGCCACGATAATATGCTAATTTCTAAGTAGGAGTTGCTTCATAATATTAATGAGTGTCAGTTTCCTTGGCAAATCATTGTAGTTGAACATTAATTTTTTTTTTTTTTCACACTAAAAAGTAAAAATACCATGATTTCTTTTCTTCTTTTTCTCCATATCTCACTCTCTGATGAAGCTTTAATAAAAGCGAAAACATGTTAGATTGATAAATGTTTCTTGCTTGTTCTTTATCTTATCAGTGTTGTAAATATAAAATTATTCTTGTAGATGAACAATCTAATAGTGTTTAATAATCAAATTTTAATCATCACTTTTTAAAACAATAAAGATTACTGAGGGAATAAAGGGAATGCTAAATAATAGTCGTGTCAAGGGAAAAACTATTTTATTGTGGGCATGGAGGTTAAAATTTATCAAAAGTTTTAGGAGAGAACATACCATTTTTTTTTAGCTTGTTTTGTGGCTGAAAGAATTATATATTTCCTATTGTCAGTATTCCAGTTCAGATTAAAGCCAGGTAACTGTTGATTTCCTTGGCAAGCATTCTTTTCTCAGTTGTAAGATTATCTGGTTTTTTTTTTTGGTCTACAAGAGGAAAAATAGGTGAATTATTATTTTTTGTTTTTGTGCATTGAGTTAAAATATCCTTACTCTGTTATTTTTGCAGGTGTTGTGTGATGCTGACCTCTGCCCAGTAAAACCATGTCACATGAACCGTCTTCTACAAAGGAATGGACATCATCTGTTTTGTTACGAAGGGGCTCTTCAAACAAGATCCCTTTGAAAGAGAAATTTGTCCAGATCTATGAGGCATTTTTTCAGGTATAACTCTTTGTTATTTAGACCAAAAGTAGGGCACCAAATTTTGTCCGCCATTGTTCTGGAACTGTCCCAAAAAATCAACTTTAATCATGCTGTAAAAATTTAAAACTGTGCAGAAGTGTTGAACACACATACATATATACGATATTTGGTCAGATGTTGAGAAGTTGGCTGGGCTGAGTAAATTTCACCACTCGCTTGTATATGTAGGTATTTGTATAATTTATCCATGCATGAATAACCCCATCCTTTTTCAAGGGTACTATGTTAGTAAGCAAATAATTTAATCATACTATCAAAAAACAACATCAGTATTTAAATTCTGCATCCCCACAACATTTTTTTGACATTTTTCACTCATATTCATTTACATTATTCAAACTGTTATCCTCATCTTTATTGCCATATTCAACTGTGAACATGACAATAAAGATGAGCACCACAGTATGAACAATGTAAATAATGTAAACTAGCAGCCATACCCAGCTGGTTGATCAGAAAAAGCATTCAATTAGAATGGAGCAAAAACAGCATCATGTTTAGGTGTAACAGAGTCTGACTTCAATTACTTGAAAGGACTTTCATTAAAAAACATTTTGAATTAATGCAGTTACTGATATAACAGAAATAGTCTGTATTTATTCAATCTGGACATGAAGGGGTAAAATAGGCAACATGAAGACTCACTTCAGACCACAATTATTTTTGAGTTTTTGAAATTCAATTTGTCAGTGTGTTACCAGGGATGTAAAAGAGGATACATTTAGAAAGCAATTGTTAAGTTTCATAAAAAAGTTGTTGAAAAATAAACAAAAAATAAAAAAGAAACCAGTAAAAATCACCATTTTTCACTATTTATGCAGGTTTTCACTTTATGGGTAGACTCAATTATCAAGTTAAATGGCTGTTAAACAATCAACTTATTGTTGGCTACAGTTGAGTTAAGTTTGTATTAGATAACTTGAAAATTGAGGGGGTTTTTAGTTTAAAATTTGGGTTGAAATTGATTTTTTGTTTTTTGTGGTTTTTGTTAAATGCAGTGGCATAGAAATAAAAATGAGGTATTGTTGAGCTTGTCATGAGTTTGAACGAAATCAGAAGAAAAAAGTAGAATTTATCGATTTTTCATCATCTTGAACGAAATTGGAGGAAAAATGTTGAATTTATCGATTTTTCATTGGCTTTATCGATTATTAATTTTAAAAAAATTATCAATTTTTTACGCTAACAACTTATCTCTTACATTGTACAATGTATGTGCTAAGTTTGGCCAAAATCAGTTGGATAGGTCATTAGCAAAAAGGTATCACACAGACAGACAGACATCTTCTGTTTTATATATATATATATATAGGCAATTACAATTCTTTATCTCTGAAGTATAGATAGACTCATATTCGTACATATTAAATCACAAAAAATGGCTAGATCCATAAGTTCAATCCTAACAGTTTTTTTTCTTGCACTTTTCACTTATGGAACTCTCTTCTGAATTCTTGCTTTCCAGTCAACTTTGATCTTCAAAAATTAAAATGCAATGTCAATTGTTATTTTCTGTCTTCTTAATTCCATTTCTTATATCATTCTCTCTTCTTAACAATGTTTCTTTTTCTCATATTCTCTCACCCTCAGTCACCCCTTGTGTCTTAGGGGCTTTATTGAATGATTAAAAAATGAGTGAAAATGAAAACAAATTATTTTGCATGAATTTTCCAACTTAACCTTTTATTCTGGACTTATGAGTAATGTAAAAGACAGAATTCACAAAAAACAGAACAATGATAGGTTGAGTTCAGTGTCTTTGAGCTAAATGAGATGGATTTTTTTTCTTCGTTTGGCTACAATATAGAGAATATATAAACATTTGATGAGATTAGCAGCACCAAGGATTGACGTCTAAAAGTGATGTTATTATAGTTGACAGAAATTATTCTTCTAAAACCATGGCCTTATACTGATCCTAACATTACCTTTGAGAAAAATCTCCTCACTTGTGTCGCTATGCTGGCTAAAATCTGAAATGTAACTTGGATCAGAAAATTTTGTCAGCATTTCCCATTTCATAATTTGCATTCTTTTAACTTTTCATCCATAATAATAGTAGCAACAAAAGTATTCTTTCATCTAAGCACTTTTGATCTTCAGAATAGCAGTAAGAAAGACTCATCCTTTCTGCATGATTTGACAATTATTTTCTTAATATTTTTTTTCTGTTCTTCAGGGAGAAGACCCCTCGACAGGTAATCCAAACTTTTGGGATGAATTATTTCTTTTAAAGGTAGGTCCCTACATTTTATGTGTTTTTTTTTTTTTTTGTTCACTGTTCCAAGTGATGTTTGTTGGATTATTTTCTTTAGACTGAATGTTTTAAATGTAAGGCTAACTCATAAAATCAAAGGAATTTAATCCAGCTTATCCCCCATGAATCTCATTTGCTGAATTATCTTCCACTGAACAAGATGAAGTTTGATAAGGTCATATGATGTAAAGGAGTTCTGAAATGTTCTCTAAATGACCCACTTTCCAAGTTTGGTATTCTATTGTTTTGTCATTGAAATACTAAATTTTTGGAACATAGGCTGGGTTGGGAACATACCTCCTACATCTGTAATGTAATCAATCCTGACTAAGTGTCTCAATTTCAGTCACGTTCTCACTGACATGACATGGCTTACCTCTGTCTTTTCTACAAATATGTTCATGGCAACTGTCCTGATAAGCTTTTTTTCCCTGGCACCTTGACTACATGAATCTAAGGTGGGTACCAAATTGACAAATAGGTCTCATTGTTTTACTATTTAACTAGCTAGATCAGTGGTTCACAACCGATCTTGGTCTGTGCCCCCCCTGTAATATTTAATTCTTAAATGTATGCCAATTAAACATTTATGTGCATACACACAAAATATTTATATGTATAAATACTGTATATGCATCACATGTATTAACACACATTAACACTATCACTCAGTCTCATTAGAAAACAATTCACAGTTAATAACTCATTCTCGAATTGCCCCCCCCCCTATTCTGTTGGTATAGTAAGCTGAAGGGTGCACATTCTATGCATGCCCCACAGGTGAGGAATCATTGAGCTAGATGAAACCACTGCTTCTATTCGAAGAGTTTCTTTTCTCGCACTTCTCTCATGTGAAACTCCCTTCTGATTTCTTGCTTCCCTGATAACTACGATCTGCAACTTTAAATGCAACATCAGTCGCCATCATCTGTCTTCCCGAATCCTTTTTCTTTCACTTTTCGTCTGTAAAGTCTTCTCATTATCTTTCACTCCCTGTAACCCCTTGTGTCTCAGTGGCTCTGGATCATCAAACTTTACTTCCAAAGGTTGAAATGAAAAATCTTTTGGAAGTAAAGTCTGATGATCCAGAACCCTGTAAAAGGGGTTATGGTGAAATAGCTTATTACATGGAATCTTAACGTGGCCTGTCTTTTATTCAAACATATATGCTCTGAATCTTACATTGAGCTCTCTGGATATCATCCTCCTCAGGTCTATCATGCGGATTACCTAAATTTGAACAAACTATATATATATATATATATATATATATATATATATATAGCGTTCGTGATACTTATTTGTGAAACTCCTCAGTCATATAAAAATAATTAAATTATTGATAGAGTGTATATTTTTATAAATGGTTATTAAATACACTAACTAAATTTTCAGTACAGACATCTGTTGGTCCTGTGATAACATTACACCAATTAAAAACATAAATATTCATTATTATATATATATATATATATATAAATATATATATAATCTGTATTCCATTATTTGAATAATGTTTACTATGCCAGAAATGTCTCAAAGAAAAGTTCATTGCAATGCTTGTAAAAACTGCGTAAATTATCCAGAATTGTGTAAACATCTTTTTTCTTTGGGTAACAACACAGAATCCACATTTTCCTGTTGATGAGGCATGCTGCTGTCAGCCTCCATTCCAGACATTAGATTTGATACCGTCAACTGAGATTTAGTCTTTCATATGGATGTTTGCAAACCTCTGCATCCCCACCCCCAACTCAAAAAATTATTCCATAACACTGTATGCATATATGAATATAATTTTGAGTCATAGCATTTCTCTTTTGGCATATTTTTAACAAATGGTTTCTCTATAGACAATTTCCCCCTATCATTCAAACATTTTTAACAACAATAATAAAAATGGTCTTACATATATATTAGTGTATTATATAGTATAGTATAGCTGGCTACTTGTATTCAAGGATACCTGTCTACTAGGGCAGCTAGCCAATCCCTATTGCAGACACTTGCTCAGATGCATTTGTGTTTATTCAATACCCACAGAACCCACCTGTGGTTTATACTGCAACTATGCTGAGCAGACCTTAGTTACAGTTTCTGGGAAAGAGTGTGTTATCTAGCAGGATCAATAAGGCCAACGCGCTCAAGACCTCGACCATGATGACTTGTGACTTTGAATAGCTATCAATGACACCCAAGGGTTATGTCTAGCCAATTTCACTCACAAGGCTTGGGTCAGCCTGTGGTATGGTTTTCAGGCACTTCCCAAAGATGCCGCATGCTGGGATTGACCTCTGCAGTGCAGTAACATCCCGAAGTCTCCTTCCTGACAAATCAACCTTGGTGAGATTCAAACCTGTCTCATAGTCAAAATGTGAACATTTTAACCACTCAACCACATGCCCATATATATATATATATATATATATATATATATATATACACACACATATTTCATATTTATTGATTGACTTCTAATGTTCTTTTAAACAGAAATTATGTAAATATTGAGAATAAGTGGTCCATTTGGCAACTAAATTTTTATTCTGATGTCCAGTGTTAAATAAGTATATGTGTATCTGCTGTGTTTGTATATGTATATTTAAACCATAAATTCTCAATAATGTTAACTTGATGATATGATCTAATTTTATGTTAATATTCCTTTCACTTCAACTCCTGGGTTAACCTTCAGAGTGATATTAATAATTCAGTAATTCCCCCTTGGCAACCTTCCTGTTTTGATAAAATCACCCAACCTCCTTTACTGCGAACAGGTTAATAGGAAAAGATAGACCTACCTATCGACCAGCCTGCACTCCTTCCCTGTTTATTGAACAGGAGTAGAGGTTTATTCCTTATTTCCTGTTTAGGATATGGTTTACTGGTTCTTTCTTCCATGGTCATAATGATTAACTGTTTTAAGTTTTTGGTGATTTTTTTGTTATGCAGTTACTAGATTTACAGTTTTCTGGTTGTTGCAACCAACTACTAGTGAGGAACCTGGACTCTTTGGTCGTGTTTAGATATGCTACTCTAATCAACAGTCACATAATATCAGGATACGTGTAGTCCCATGTCAACACTGAGACCATATTATACTTTATTTGTAGCCATGTCATTGTTGCAAGTTTGTATTGCCATTGACGACAGTGATAATTATTCTGACATTTTTCTTTTTTTCTTCTTAAGATAAAATCCTCTCATGACAGATTCATTGAAAAGAAATACGACAAAACCAGGAAAAAAATATCACCTACCATCCCATAACCATTTTTTTCTCCAATATTCATGGCATCTGTTCCGATTTCTGCAATGTGGAATCTTTTCTCTTGAAATAGGTCTCCTGATATCTTTGCACTTTAAGGAATGAATTTAAAATTTTTTATTGCTACCAATGAATTCACTGTTCCAGGCTATCTTCCTCTTTGCTGAAAAGATTCTAGCATGCATATGCATGACTTCAGCATTGATATCTGGTAAAATCTGTCAATAGCAAGGTAAATGTCCCTTGTGTCCTCAGATGATTCTTTCATGTGCTTTCTACTTTGGTTATTGCAATCCGTTAGTTATCTCTTTATCCTTTATCGCTCTCTTTCTTCTCAGAACTGCAATATATTAGCCCAAATTTCTGACATAAATAAAACAGCTCTCTCTCTGTATTCATCTGCGAACATTTTTGTATTTGGTGATTTTAATGTTCATCACATCAAGCATTTTAATGTTACTGATGTTGCCAGTATTCAGATTTGCAATTTTCTGTTTCTCAGTCTCTTACTCAAAGAGTGGATTTCCCTACTTGTTTTTCTAATAAATCTGATTGACATTCTTTTTTAGTTGATTTGATTCTTACCTCCTCTTGTCAATCATTGCAACACTGTCCTTGGAACATACTATTGTGTCTGTTAAGGTTTCTTTTGAGTCATCTATTAGAGAGGAACCTTCTGTTCACAAGACTTCTTTTTGTTACCAGTATACTGATTGGGATTCATTTAAGAACTTTCCTTTTCCCATTTAAGAGCTTTGGATTGATATTTGTAACCTTCCTATTGAGAATTGTGTCAGAGAGGTTTCTTCTTGGGTTAAAGCTGGCATTGATGCTTTTGTACCTTCTCATAAATACCAGGTGAAACCACAATCTCCTTCATAGCTCACACTAGCTTGTTCAGCTGCCATAGCCCACAGGAATCTCTTTTTCCGGCTATACCAGTGTGACAGTTCCAGTCACAACAGATACCTATTTGTGTCTGCACATATCAATTGTAAACATGTCCTTAACGTGGCTAAATCTTTGTTTGCTGATAGAATGAGGCACCATATAGTCTGTAACAAGTTTGGCTCTCATGAATACTGGCTGCTCTGAGATAGTATGTTAAGGAAAAGTAAATTTCCTATCCCTCAGCTCATCATCCAATTTGTGGTGTGAGCATCTTTTGCTGATAAAGCAGAATATTTTGCTTATAAATTCACTTCAAATTTTACTCTTGACTAATCTGGAGTATCTTTGTCTGACTTTCTCCTTAAAACGGGCTCTCTGCTGAGTGATATGCATATAACTTCTTCCTTGGTTTCTGCTGTCATCTCTAAACTGTATCCCCCAAAATACATGTGGACCTGATGGTATCCCTGCAATAGTCCTTAAAAATGTGTTCCTGAACTGTCTCCTGTTCTCTCTAAACTCTACAATAAATGCTTTACTGCTTTTTACTTTCCTGCTTGTTGGAAATTATTTCCTGTAGTTCTTTAAGAACTCATGTGAAGCATCAGATCCCTCTAACTACATAGTATTCTTTTAAAAATGTTCTACATTTATGGGAAAAAGTGCTCATTATCAAGCATAGACCATTTCTAGATATATAACATTTCCATAGAAATCAACAGTGCATGAAATGACCACCTGATGACTGCATAAGGTGTGCAACTGCCACTCGCCATGCAATGTTGATTTCTATGTCAATACTATTAGATATGAATCTCTG